TATGTCAATAAATGCTGTATGTCAAGAATCTCTGAGTCTTTATCTGATCAGTGAATAAGCTTCAATGGATAAAAGAAGATTGAAAAGGAAGAGCAAAATGCACATGCGTAGTGGATGTGGCTAAGTGGATATATACGTTTGAATGAGAGATATCTTTCCTTGACCATATCTCTATTTGTCTCCTTTGAATTGAACATATTTTATTGACAAAGTCAAAAGGATCGGACACAAGTTCTGTAACTTAGATAGTCCTCTCCTAATAAAACATTTTGTAAAATTGCCAAAGTAAAACAAACATATATACATATGGTCTATACTATGCTATATACATTGTATACATTGTAGCAATAAACAGGAATAAATTTTTCAAATATACAAAAATAATTTGAGATGTTGAGAAAAAAACTTATTTTTAAAAACGACCACATTCATTTAAGAAAGTTTGAATAGTTTTAAAAAGTTCAGCATTTTGTTCGAAAGTTACAGAATCATCGCTCCATAGCATTAAATGTACATCTATAATATGTAAATAATTTAATGACAATAGCTTGTTCATTAAGGAATTTCTTGCTTTTACATAATGTTTACAAACAAAAAAACAGATGATATGTATCTTCTAGTAGTCCACAAGAACAATTAGGACTAGTAATTAGGTTACAGCGATATAAATCAGACTTTAAAATACAATTGTGTCTTAATCTTGTATGAGTTATGTTCAAAAACCTTTTTCCATAAGAAAAATATTTCTGAGATTTAACATTACTATTTTGAAGATAGTTTTTGAAAATTTTAATAGAAGTTGCCTCTCTTGTTTTTTGACTAAGGGAATTCCACTTTCTAACGGTATCGGGAATAAATGATTTATTGTAGAGTTCTAATCTATATTTTGGCAAAGAATAATTTAAAGAATTCCGGGTAGTGTATCCTGAAATATGAGTCCATATCTTTCTTACGGATAAACTTGGATCTCATTTCACACTAAGATTGCCCATGAACCAAGGGTTTAAATGCAAATATCTTTACTATTATTTGAAATTGATATGGAGATCAATTAATTAAACAGGCATGTTAATTCAAATTTATCGATAAAATTCTCTTCCAAAGATAGTCGGCTAAATACGTTTCTCCGTCGGCTTCGATTCATATATATAAAATTGAAAACATCGGGTAAGGTTTCGAACGAACTTGTGAAATAATTATTTTACTGAGAGGACAGTGGGATTTTAGCGGCACTTTTTATGCTAAATGGATTTGGTTTTTACTAGATTATTATCTAAAGAAATGAAGCATATTATCAATCATTCAGAAATTTTACACTTTATTCTAAAATTTCTATATATCAAAGTAACTTATAAAATGTACTAGAAAACTTTTTTTTGCCAAATAAATTAATAAGCAATTAGTTTATTACTTTAAAATGTATCAAATATATTAAAATAAAATATTCAGACTTGGGTTTCTGCCATCCAGCAAAGTTTACCAATCAAAGTTGGATAGTGTTTGCTTATTGTTGTTCAGCCTTGTTAAATTTTTGATGCACCATACAAGAAAACTATTTTAAAAAGTTTGATTTACATTGCACCAGACATGCTATGATAAACTGTGATTTTCAGTGTTGATCTTGGGACTTGAATGAATCTCTTTTCAAATAACATACATTTGTGATGAAGAAGTCCTCTAAATTTTCTTTTATTTTGTTCATTTTAACACCTAACGGCTACCTGAAGGTAGTCTGTGCATTGGCTTACTATTATTAGAATCAGAGTCACATTTAGCATTCAAACATTTACATAGCTGCAGATCTGTATCTCTCCGAAAAAATATTTTGATAGACCGGAGAGCTACAGTGCCACCCATTGAAAACACTGTATATTTATTAAGCACAAAAAAGTGCGCTATGTTCTTGATCATTTCTTCCAAATTCTAATCTCAATTGCAAAAAAAGGAAATATTTCGAAAAATTCCTTTATCCTCAATCAAGTACTCTCGTAGTTGACATATGAACGAAGCATATTGGACCAAATTATATCTTTGAAACCAAAATGGCAGTATAAATAAGCGAAATGTTCGATGTAATAAGGCGTAGACAACGTCGTCTTCAGTGTAGAAGGTACATTAACGAAGGTCCGAATTTTGGTGTTAATCTAGATGGCTGGGACAAGTTAAAACCATTCGAAATTTCCATTCATGGCTGTGTAGATGGCTTTTCAAGACGTATTCTCTGGCTCAAAGCTTGCAATTCTGACAAAAAAAACCTTGAGTTAATATCCAGATTTTATATAGATTATATCAAAAAAAATAAACGGGGTTCCTGTAGTCGTATACGCAGACAGGGGTACTGAGAACTTCATAGTTGGAGATTTGCAATACGCTTTGCGATGGAATCACCAGCATCCCTTGCAAGAACTATCAAGTCAATATTCTTTACATTTGATATTTATCTTACCTCTTACCATTTGGAAAGAAAATTTCTATGGCTTTGTTGAGGATATCAGAATAGGTAGAAGCATCTACCATTTCCACCGTTCTAGTACCACCACCACTGGAGGGCCGCACCTGTGTAAACTTGGTTCCTGTGTTGTTTTAGTATTACAGTATATGATTTTTTAAAATAAATAATTATTATACACCGGGAGCAAGCCCCTGTAATTTTACTTATGAACAAATGCCCACTCTAAATAATATTGTTGACATTAATATATGTATGCTTCTCTAGTAACCGTCTGGCTGGATTAAGGTTTCCTCTGGTGGAAACGTCCTTAAATCAATGAAGAATATAATGCTTTGGATTGTCTCCCTATTTGTTCAATATTTTTCGCATTTTTCCTTCAACATATTATTTTCCAACTGGCGATATCGGCATATACGGTTCCTAATTTCGGTACGTAAGTTCCATTGGAAGTTTGTAACAGATATTTTTCTTTGTTACTGTTAATCAAGTGACTTATTCTTTGATAAAGGAGTTGTTGACCGAATTGAAAGCCTTGAGTTTGGTCTCGTATTCTACGGCGTTATCCCGCAAATTTGTTTCAAATGTCTTCACGAGGTCACTGGTGCTGTCCACCAACGTTTTTTTCCTGTGGTTGTTTGGATAAGTCTCCGCATTTTTGACTCGTTCAACAATTTCGATCTGAGTATGATCAAGTCTTAAATGACAGCTGCCGCATTGTTTTAGTGTCGTGTTACCATAGTTCTGCACATGAATGCTACAGTATTTTGCCTGCAAGCTTGAAAAATGTTTCTTAGCACTCTCAACTTGGGCGTCAGTTTCAGTTATTTCCTCCTTCAAGTCGAGCATTGTCTTTTCAGTAGGAGATCTGTACGTGTATATTTCTAGAGGGTCCCCCGGTATTTAGCTTTCGGTGTGAGTTATTTGCTTGCTAAGACACGTGCTCTTCGTGCTCTTAATTCTCGATCATTACATGTAGCTGACTCTTTTGTGTGAAATGTGCCAAGTTCTCTAGAACTTTGGGTGACATTTTTTATGTTTTCCTTGATAAATCGCTTGAGGAGAGATCTTTTCACCTGTTTATATGCACCTGAGCAGAACGATTATCTAGAAGAAGAAGATACCACAACCGTCTTTTTTCTTAAAGGCCAATTATCTGCATTTGTTATCACCGCTTTTCTCCTGGGTATAATCCTCAACAGGAATGATTTTTTTGTTTGGTCAAAGTTAATATTAAGCTGAGGAGGGATTTCATATTCTTTGACAAGCTTTAAAATCATGAGCAGTTTATTCATGAGGTTGCTCCCACGTCTGGCTTGCTGGTATTTAATGGTTTTTTTGGAATCTATGTGAATTTTGGATTGCAATGGCCAGGACATCTTCTTCTTTGATTTGCAAGTTGTGTCTAAAGCACTCAAGAACAGTCTCTGAAGTGTTTTCTTAATCAGACTTAGGGATAAATGTACCATAAAGCAATGTACTTCCTTGAACGGTTTTATTGTTGTACCACAGAATCCTGTAACTGCTTGACACGAGTCTCCAGTTCTGTAATCTTCTGTTCCTGAGGATGCACTCGTGTTGTCTTCAACGTTTTTAGGTCTGAAATCTTGGTCTTGTAGAGCTCTCTCTGTCTGTAATGTCATGTCTTTCCTCAGTTTTGATAGCGACTCTTCCACTTAATCTGCTTTCTCTCCCACAGTTTTCAGATTTTCATTCACAGAGTTTTCTACACAGGCAACTTAGCCACATATGATTCTCATAGTAGTATCATATGATTCTCATATGAGAATCATAGAAAAAGGGCATCATATGTGAATCATATGAAGCAAATCATATGATTTACATATGATTCACATATGTGAATCATATGAAAATAACTACATATGATTTGCATATGAATGATTTAAGTGTGTTTCAAGCCATTTACATACGAGAATCATATGAAAAGGACATCATATGTAAATCATATGAAACACTTAAGTGTGTTTCACTTAAGTGTATTTCATGCCATTTACATATGAGAATCATATGAAAGGGGCATCATATGTAAATCATATGAAACAGTTATGTGTGAACATTCTCTTTCAAAAATTTTCACATTCTTGTACACATTTAAAAATCAGATATTTCTGCTTTAGATGAAAATTCATTACATTACAATGATCTATCTTCATTGGTTAAATATTTCAAAATATTTTATATTGCTTACACAACTTTTTTGATAAAATTATTTTCATCAAGAGAAATAACTTATTTTTCACAGTGTACATTCTAAACAAGAAAATATACAAACAAGTCAGTAGCATTTGTCGATACATGTATTAAACATATTTTAAAATGAGTACAAATTATAAGATTTCAGCAAAATGATTAAGTAGTTAAACATGTATACATGTACAAATAAATAAAATAATTAGGTCATGTACTTGTATAAAAATACTTAATGACATGAAAGTGTCCAGAGCAAAATTAAAATATCAGCAATAACATTTGTCACGTATTCTCTATTGCAAATTTATGAAAAAAAATCATGTTATTTGATATTCTCGCATACAAATAAGAATGGGAAATCTTTACAGGTCAAATTCAGACAAGATTGTGTACATCCTCCACATTTCATAATTATTCCATATATTTCCAGGTTCTTTTTCCTTCTGTATCTTTTCAATATGTTCAGTTTCGTCCTCCCTCTGATTTGACCATTCTGAAAATCTCTTTGAACTGTACCAAAAATGCAAATCCACCAGTTCTCCCCTTCCTGAACAATTTCTTTGTGGCACAGAATGGTCTCTACAAAAATTGCGAAATTAAGAAGATTCTGACAAATATATTACTTTTGGACAAAAAAGAATATAAAAAAGTCTGTTAAACAGTGTGTAGTTACCTTAACTTTGAAGCAAGCCTAGGATCTTTGTATTTTTCCTTATGAGAGGCTGACTGTATATTGAACCTGTAAAACCAATATTAACACAGTAGATATTTTCTAAGCATAACTAAAACTTAAACTACAAGAAAGAGAGAGTATACAAGTTTCTAGTTTCTCAATAGTCTTAAATTTCTTACATTTTACCTGAAACTAGGTTCTCTATTAGTATTGGAATTTTTTTTTATAAATGTCAGTCAATGAATACATAGATGTAAATATTCAATGGATAAGCTATGTGATGTACTTTCAACACATACACATGCATATGTGTACCTTAAAAGTTTGCCACTGTTATTATTAATTTTTTGCTGAAATTCAAAAATTCAATTAACCCCCTGAAGTTAATGTATAGTTTCATAGCTTTTAAAGCCAGCATATTCTATTCATTAACTTACCATATTTTTAAAAGTGCATTGGATAAAAATTGTTTAAAAATGTAGAATACAACTTCTATATTATTGAGTTGAATTTATTTTTGATGAAGCCATGCAAACAATGTAGAATTATGAAGGAACAAAAAGAAATTATGAAGAAATATTTTGTCATAAAGGAGTCATTACAGTTGTACACTTTGATTTTTTATTGCAAGTGTTTCTTTTTACCTTTAATATTGTGATGATGCAATCGTCTGTCACAATCAGCTTTTGAATCAATCGCCAGTCTTATCAGCTTTGGGCTTCTTGGACTTAATAAAAAAACAGCACAGTGACACTTAACTAATGTTTTTTAATTCATCTATAGGCAATAAAAACAAACATTTGTCATTAATTTGATGAAAGAATCGACTTGATAACGATCTCAACATACAAAAACGCCGAACAGCTATACAGGGTTTCTACTTTCACTTTCAAATCAGTACGTAACAAAAGTCAAAACAAAAAGAAAACAAAGTAATGCCTTTAGCCTAACATGTAAATTATAATGTTTGCATCCGTTCAGAAACAAATTTATCCAAAATTACTTACAGATCACTTAAGTTATGCAGATTCACGAAATGCATTAATTTAACAATTACAAGTGTAACAGAGATTAGTTCATACGAACCTGTAACCGTAATGAAACGATATTTAAACAATATGAATTAAAGGTCTTTAAAAAATTGTTAGGAGATTACTTACTTTTTCCAACACCCAGCACTTCTGCTGCAGCAGTGACGTCAAACATGAAGTACACTTTGATCCGATAAAAGTAAAAACCGGTCCGGGAAAAATACGGATTTTTTTTTTACTCAAGTAATAAACCCAAACCCAAAAGATTTGAAATAAAAAGCAAATTAATTTATTCTTTATCAATTTTGTCTGGGATATGCATTATTTCTGAAAAAGAAAATTGTGAAAGGTATTTTTTTTATAAGGGAAAGGGGGGGGGGTGTTAAACAGAGTAGAACTTAACATAAGTTAATGCTAACAAATTCTTTTGAAATTGATGTAAATTTAAATTAATATTGAGATATATTATTGAAATTGCAATTTTACTTGAGTATATCAAGGGCAAATTAGTGAATACTGTCTCATATGATTCTCATATGATCACTGTCTCATATGATCAATGTCAAAATATTCATATGACTTTTACCTGAGTATAAATAGGACAAATTAACAAACATGGTTTCATATGATCAGTTTCATATGATTCTCATATGACCACATCTAAAATATACATGATTCTCATATGTATGACCTTTCATATGAGAATCATATGTATATTTCTTCATATGATTCACAGATGTGTGATCATATGATTCTCATATGATTGGCCACATATGATTCTCATATGATTGTATATACACATGCTTCTCATATGATCCACATATGATCTTCATATGAAAGGCAATGCATATGTGGATCATATGTGGCTAAATTGCCTATGTAGTTTACAAATAAGCTTCATAAAAAGAGTTTTAAGATCGTTATTTGAAACCTCTTTATGTTCATTTTTTTGCTTTGTTTTGAGTCCTCTTTATTTTGTTTTATCTGTCTTGTCTTGCTTTGTTCGTTCCATAGTTAGAATTTCCTTTTATTTTCTTACCGTCGAGGAGGTATTTGTACATAAAGGAGCACGAAAACGAAATGAGTGGAGAGTAACAAAGTAATTATAATAATGATATTGTTTCATGGTTATAAAAGTAATTATTTGTTTCATGGTTATAAAAGTAATAATTTTTAATTAAAAGTATATTTCAAGGTCAACTAAAATGTCACTAAAATTGTTTTTATCTAAAATCACACCATGATATTTGTAAAAAAAAAAAAAAAAAAAATAAAACAAATTTAGAGTTAGGATAGCCTTTTTACACATAACGTACCCAGTCATTTGCAACAACAATAAATTAAAAATTGATGTATTTCTTGGTTACTTTCCCGTGACACCTGACTCCCTTCCCTTATTTCAGAGGGGTTTATTTGAAAATAGTTCTTTCCCCTCATATTGATTACAAAATGGACAAATTGTCCATATGTTGTAATGTTCTGAAGACTAATTTGTCGTGAATTGCTATTTTAGAAATGTTTTTGTAATCTACACGAAACAGATGTTTGGTATCTGTAAGATTAAGGTTTCGTCAAAGGTCAACATGTCCAAAAAATTATATTTACAATGGCCCCAAAACTATGAGGGGTATAAAGTTAAAACTTTTACACTTTATAATTTTTTCATTGATTAACAGATAGAAAGTATCACTTGATAAAAAAAAACTTGGAAAAAATATTAATTGAGAAAAATTCATCTTTAAAATGCATATATTTTCAAAAAGTACATCTAATTAATTCCATGCTCTTAGTGAAAACCATTATTGCAGAAACAAAATATGTTTATCAATGAAGGGCAAGTTGGACTTGGATAGCCTCTGGAAAGTTGTTTTCCCTGTTTATTTTGTCCATATGTTAAGACTTGGGAGTGAAAGTACATTGCAAATGGCGTATTTTATAGGGGTCTTTTATTTATACATGTCATGCTTTCAATAACAGCCTTTCAGAGACCATTCACGTCCAACTTGCCCTTCAGTGATAAACATATATTATTTCTGCAATGATGGTTTTCACAAAAAAGACAGAATTAAGCAAGTGCATTTTTCTTGAAATATGCACATTTTCTGATACAATTTTTCTCAAAAAATATCTTTTTAAAAATATTTGTTATCAAGCGATAGTTTCTATCTATTAATCAGTGATATATTTATAAACTGTAAACGTTTTGACTTTATATCACACATAGTTTTGGAGATATTGTAAAAATAATTTTTCCGTCATGTTGACCTTTGACGAAACCTTAAACCACTTAGTGACGATACCCACTGTTTTTACAAACATTATACATCATTTATTTTTAGCTCTACTGGTCAGAGACCAGAAGAGCTTATGCGATAGTTATGCGTCCGTCCGTCTGTCTGTAAACAATATTTCAAAATGCTACTCTTCCTACAGTTTTGGTCTGATTTCAGTATAACTTGGCACACAAGTAGACTACACTAAGATACATATTTCTGTTTATCATTTTTTAATTTCGATGAACCTGTTGCTGTGGTTACTAAAAATAGAAATTTCTGTGAAATTCTTTCAAAATGCTACTCCTCCTACAGTTTTGATCTGATTTTTATATAACTTGGCACACAAGTAGACTACACTAAGATACATAATTCTTAGTATCGGTTTTTGATTTCGATGAATGGTGTTGCCGTTGTTACTTAAAATAGACATTCCTGTGAAATTCTTTTGAAATACTACGTCTACTACAGTTTTGATATGATTTCAATTTAACTTGGTACAAAGTAGACTACTTTAAGATACATACATACAGTCCCTGAAACGTTCTACTTTCCCACCTCAAAGGTGAACGAACGCAGAGCAAACGCTGAACGCAACTTGGTGAACGATGTTTGAACGGTAAACGCAGAACGCGAACGGAGCGCGAACACGAGCGCAAAGTGAACAGTGAACGAACGGTGAACGCAAGATGAACGATTTATTCGGAATGCCTCTGATTTTTTCCTTGCGTTGAAATTATTTTATAATTCTAATTTCAGGTGCTTTATTATTATAAATATACAGTAGATAAATAAATTAAAAAAAATAATAATAAAAACATTTTTTCTATACATATATGCACCTATGATTTAGATCGAGTTTTATAACACGATTTTAATTGCCGTAAAACATGTGTATTTGTAACCGAACGCGTATAGTTTAAATATAAAATTAATCTATTTATATGGTAAATATGCTTATTCTTTTCAGTAATAAAATAATGTGGACTTTAGAAGATAAAACTACTACTTATAGAATGAAATAATTACACTGTACGCGGTTGAATCAACAATACATGTATTTCCGTGCCAAGACTGAGTAAAATAACGGATATTTTAATTCACAATTGTCTATTGACGTATTGCATAAAAACCTTTTTTAAAAAATTCTAATGCAAAATATTCTTAGTTATGTGTCTTTTGTATTCTTTTATGATGATTATTTTAGCTAACTTCTACATGTCCCGGCCGTGATTATACCCTGCAAGATGATGGAAATTAAGAGGCATTCAAATTATTTGTAATATATTAAAATTTCAAAACTAAATAAGTAATGTGCTGTCATAGTTTTTATTGAACAGAGAACTGTATGAGAGAGAGAGAGAGAGATACCCCTTCAATTCTCAGATATCTGTTGTATTAAATAAAAACTCTTATTATATTTCCTAAATATTCCAAGCAGTAAAGGTAATAATTTTTTTAGATTAACAAATCCATTTAACAGTAATCATTGGCTTTTATTTTCCGTCATCAAGTTCACACGGTCCACGTGTTTGTCCTGTCGATCAAATTTTATTCGACACAGAGGAGGCGTGGAAATCGCGTTTTACCGAACATTCCGAAGGCAGTCACTTAGTATTTCAAAGAAGTTTTAATATTTTTCCCTATCATTTCTAGATCTGCATGTTTTCTGCATTCCTGCAGAAAAAAAAATAAATAATAGGAACATATACTTAGAAGGATAGAGTTTGAAACATATTCCCTGCCAATTTAAAATACTACTGTCGGCACAAGTTTATTAAGTCTTTCCACCTTTCTGTGGAAAGACTTATTGGTTTTCTTCTGTAAATTCACATCATTTTTCTTCCGCTGATTTTTTTCGTTTCGAGAGACTTTTTGTTCATCGTAAAGGTCATTAAAAGTTAAGAACAGATTTGACCCAACGCTTATGAACTATGACCCCTTTCGAAGTTATTGCCCTTTTCGCAAGAAATGCTTGTTATCGCTACTCCTCCGAAACCGTAAACCGTAGAGGTGCGCATTGTACACCAATGTCTTCGACTAATTTAGTCGGTTCTTCAAACTGGGAAGTGCGAAAGAATTCCTAAACCCCTTTGAGTAGTTATTGCCTCTGAAAGTTTTAAAGCTTACAAAATTTTTTAAAAACTTTTAAACGACAAGTGTTAAAGATATCGGACCAACTGCATGAGATCTTATGACCTTTGACCTTGAAAAGTAGGATAAGGTCAAAGGTCAAGGTCATTTAAAATATGACCAAATTAAGCTTTTTTGTAGCTCCTTTCTTCTCCAACAAATTTTATACACCTTTGCATCTTTAATATGTACTCTTAAAACCATTTCAGAGATTTCATGCTTGTCCCCTAAGATTGACCCCTCTTAAAGTTAATGCCCCTTTCAGTGTAAACCCTTGTTATCGCTACTCCTCGGAAGCCGTAAACCGCAGACGTTTGAATCCTTCAACAAAGTCTACGACTAATTAAGTAAACTCTTGAATCTATTCATTGCGAAAGGATTCGTCAACCATTTTAGCAGTTATTGCTCCTTTACAGTTTCTAATGTTTACGAAGAACTAAAAACTTTTTAACGACAAGTTGTAAAGACATGGGGACAATGCATGAGATCTTTCTACCTTTGACCTTGAAGATAAGGTCAAGTTCATTGGAAATGTATTAAAATTGCTTAGATATGGGTTTTTGTTGACCCTCACTCAAAAGTAATAAAGAAATATTCATTACCTTACCTATATTCAGCTTCAAGTGTTAATCCCATGTCTATCAGTGTTGTTTGTGTGGGTTTTTTTTTTGATGACCTTTGACCTTGATAAATGACCTTGACCTTTGACCCAAAGGTCACAATCAAGCTTCAGTATGTGCAGGGATTTATAACTCTCGTGTTAACAAACGCTTATATAATATTCCCCCCCCCCATTCTCTCTAAAACAAAAAAAAAATCAATAGCGACATAGAAAATTTTTGTACAACCCAAAGGACATCACAGATCAAATTAAAATCCAGTTTAGCATGTAGAAGACACCTCAAAGAAAGTGCCCTGAGAGTTTTACGGTGAGTCTCTTAAGTACAA